AGTAATGATATTCAAATTACCTTGAGTAAACAAATGTTCTTATTTTTGAGATTTTTCTTATTTACTTACAGCATTTTCTCTATTTCTTTTGTTTAAATAACTCCACTTTCTCTTATAGAAAACTAAGTAGGTGCTTTCACCTAATCTGGTCAGAGGGTGACTGCTCTAAGATTTGAGAAATATCTCTAACCCAGTGATTTTCAACCAGTGTGCAGTAAGAATTTTTAATACATGAAATACCTGACTAGTTAGGGGAACTGACCTCTTTTTCCTTTGATTGCCAAGTAAAAAAATGACAAGAGCCAACACAACAATAGCCATCTGGTGTGAATGAATCAAAATTATACCAATTATTTTGTCAAATCGGCCAAAACTATATTTTTGGATGAGCCACAGAAGTTTAGTAATTTTTTCATGTGTGCCATGAGATGAAAAAGCTTGAAAATCAGTGCTGTAGAAGTTTAAATCAAAGCTTCATTAACACATTTTTTTGGGGGTGGGGTCACTTCTCTCTTGCCCAGAGTTAAACCCTGTCAATTCAGCATGTTTCTTGGAACATATCAGTAGTTCACTAAATGTTTACTGAATAAGCAAATGTTATCTCTGAGAAGTAAATCAACGTTCTTAGTCTAATTCTTCTCTAGCAGTGGTTGGGCAACAGTGCAAATTTAAACTGTAATAGAGTTCTCTGTGCTCATCTGTGATGGAATTGTCTGTCCGAGATACAAAGCTCATGCCAAGAATAAGTAGAGAAAATTAAAATGTTTTTTACAAAGAAAGAAAATCTGCCTTACGGCATTAGCGACGATGAGGAAACCAGAGCCCCTCCTGGAACCACAGTGAACATTGTTATCTCTTGAGCACCACATGATCGTTTCAATTTCAGCTTTGCTTAAAATGGTCATCTATTTTATGTTATTATTTTTAAATAGGTTTCTATTGATTTCAGAGAGAGAAAGGGAGAGGGACATAGAGAGAGAAACATTGATGAGAGAAACATCAATTATCATGGATCAGCTGCCTCCTACATGCCCCATCCTGGGCGTGTGTCCTGACCTGGAATGGAACCCACAACCTGTTGGTGTACAAGGTCAAACTCTCCAACCAACTGAGCCACTTGGCCTGGCAAAATGGTCATCTATTTTACTTATTTACTAGAGGCCCAGTGCACAAAATTTGTGCATGAGGGGTGGTCCCCTAAGCCCAGGCTGCACCCTCTCCAATCCAGGACCTCTCAGCGGATGACTGACTGTTGGTTTAGGCCCGATAGCCAGGATCGGGCCTAAACCAGTAGTCGGACATCCCTCTCACAATTCAGGACCGCTGGCTCCTAACTGCTCACCTGCCTGCCTGCCTGAATGCCCCTAACTGGTCCCCTGCCAGCCTGATCACCCCTAACTGCCTCTGCCTGCCAACATGATTGCCCCT